CGGATGACGTGCGTCGCAGGCGCTATCGCCTTCGCACGGAATCAGCATACTGATGATCATCTTGACAGCCGGCTCGAGCGCTGGGAGCGCGCGGAAAAGTTGGGCCTGAAGCCCGATCCCGAGGTGAGCTGATCCCTTCACCTTCCCGAATCAAGAACGGTACTCATTGGCCCTCATCACGCGTTGTAGATCGCAGAAATCCTGCGCTCGGAAGAAGGTCGGAACACGCTGGTCTACCGCGATTCGGTCTTCCAAAGTACGTCTCCGCCTGACATTGCATTGCCAAGCGCGTCTCCGGGCTTCTCTGACGGACTCGCTCTGCCCTCACGGCACAACAGTCTAAAAGCCAGCTTTTCATCTTATCCCGTAGTTAGCCTCTTTACCCTGTGTTCCGACTGAGCTTTTGATGTTGTCCATTCTTCCCGCTGCGTTTTCGTTTGTTGCCAATCGCGATTCTGACGAGTCTGATGCGTGCGAATCGAGTTCTATCTCTATATTGCAGTCCGATACGCGTAGCCGCTTTATACGCGGCAGTTTGTCAGGCCAATCACGAGGATATCCGAGGCTCCGACCGCCTGCCGTGCGAGGAAGGAATCAAGATTGGATCCGAGGTCAGGAACCGCAAACTCGGCTGAACGAGACGCGCGAGAGCGGAGAAGAGATCTTACTTGGAGCTTGTCCATCACATCCGCCACCTCTGCCTTCAAGACCATGCTGCTCACCGCGACCCATTCCGGGTCGTCCAGCGGCGAAACCGTGGCTGCCCGTCGACCCGGCGTCACGCGGGTCGCTTCGGCGACCACCTTCCGCGGGATGTTGTAGTTGCACAAGACGTACTTGCCGGCGGCCACGACTCCAGCGATACGCGAGGTGATGCGCTCGATGAGCGGATCGTGCTCGTTGGCGGGCTTGTTGGAGCGGATGAGCACCGCTTGGGAAACAAGCACCGTCTCGATGGCGTGCAGACCAGCAGCCCGCATCGTTTCTCCGGATTCTGCGGTGGAGGGACGAGCCTCAGTGATACGCCGGGGCGCTCGCAGTCATCTCCGAGAAGAGAAGCTCACCGACGAGGTCGACTAGTGGACGGAAGCAGACACATAATGGATCAAGGATGTACCGTCAGCTTTCGGCTTTCGGAGCGGCGACAATGTGTACAGACTGACCGATGCCATCCGCGAGACCAAGGGCGCATGCAGCTTCGACGCTGCCGCCGATGTACTCGATCTTGGTGCTGCCCCTCGCCTTGCCCGCTTTCTCGTCGAGCTCGGCAAAGTAGCGTCCGGCAAGGACCTCGAAGCTCGTCACGACCTTCTTGCCGACGAGATCTTGAACGGACGCGATGGGTCCACGTTCCGGGACTTGGACCTGGAGTTTGCATTTGCCGAATTCGAGCGGCAGGACCTCGGAAACGAGGCCATTGACGTCGGCTTCCGCGACCATGTCTTGTCCGGTGATACCAAAGTGCACGTTGCCCTCTCCGACGAAACGAGGGATGTCGGCCGCGGGCAAGAAGACGCTGTCGGCGAGCGGTGTCAGGGAGAGACGTGACGAGGGCAGCGATCACAGGGCAGGTGCGGGCATCGACACATACAGCGCCATGTTGTGGTTGCGGACGAGGCATACGTCCAGGCGGTGGGAGCGAGTGAATTGGATGTCGGCGCCTGCATCGCCGCTCATAAGGAGTCAGCGCGAGTGAGTGGGTCGAGAGTCTGGCCGATATCGTGTGCGCACCTGCAAGAAGCTGAAGGCACTTCTCATAGAGCCGTCCTATGTGCCCGCACGTCCGAGTCTGATCAGTCGCCTGCTATCCCGGTGCGTGAAAGAGAGCAGAGGGAGGGAACTCACCCTTCTTCGGGATGGCGAAGAGGCATCGGCCCTTGAGGCTCTCGTTCAAAAAGTCCAGCATGGTCGCAGTGGCGGCTCGAGGTCTGCCTAGGGAGCTGCGAAAGCGGGAGACGAACTCTGGTCTGCGTGCGCGATCGCCTTCACGTTCCGCGCGTCGATGCGAGGTCGGCGCTTCTCGCTTCGCGGCCAGACACTCGCTCAGCTGCCCATGCTTGCCTATACAGGATCGACATAGCGGTCCCAAGCCGGACTCTTTGCTTTACACGCTCCCCGGTCTTCGCTCTCCGGCGCGTTCGCCGCGATGCTCTTCTCCAGACGGCGGATGTCCCGCTACTGGACCCGAGCACTTTCAACCTACATGCTCGTGGTTCTGCTCGCGACGATCGCGAAAGACTATCTCCCGGCTCTGCCTCTCCCCGCGGAGTTGGATCGCTCGGAGAACGTGCTTTGGGTCACAGCCCATCGTGAGTTGGCACGGGAGGTCGATACTTAGACGGCGGTACAGGGAGGGACATGCATGACTGACCGACACGTGCGGCCATAGCCGACGACGAATCTTTCTTCTTCGCGCCTACCATCCTCAACCTGCTCCAGCAAAAGCCAAGGCGCGGCGCTCTATTGTGTCTATCCACCGGTGAGAGAGAGGCTGCGGCTGCGCAAGTTCCAGAGGACCAGGCGGCTCACAGCTCTTTGCATGTCAGGCAACCACGAGGGGCTCGGGAGTGAACGCATCGGAGAATTGGAGCTGTCGTGTGCGAGGCTGGGTATCTCCTCCGATCGATGTGTTGCGCTTGACGTCCCGTACGCGCGGCTGCGTCGCTCTCTCTCTCTCTCTCCCTCTCTCTCTCTCTCTGGATGTCTTGGTTCTGATTATCACCTGCTCACAGTCACTTGCAAGACGAGCCCGGAGTATGGTGGGAGGCGGCCGAAATTCACGCACAATTGCAAAAATGGATTGCCGCCTGGCAGCCTGACGCGGTCTGTGGATCCCCTTCTCGCTCCGCGGCGAGCATGGCTGACATCCCTTGGCAAATCAGATCGTCACCTTTGACGCGTACGGTGTGTCCGGTCACGTCAATCATCGAGCAATCGGCTCGGCAATGCGGTAGGCGATGCATTTTCTGCTGCTCCTCCGCCCCCTGCGGTTGACAGGCCGAGAAACTGCCTCTCATGCACATGTTTTTATGTGCGACAGGGCTGCCGCGCAGACCGGGGAATATCCGCCCATCTACGCAGTCGACTCGACCAGCATTTTCGCCAAATTCACATCCGTCTTCCTCCTACCATTCGTTGTGCTTCGGCAGACCCTCGTCAACACGCGACGCGAAGACGCCGCCGTCTTTGTCAACTCGATCGGCCAGTACCGACTGACGCGGGCGTCGTTCCATGCACACCAAAGCCAGGCGAGATGGTTCCGAACGCTCTTCGTCTCCTTCAGCCGGTACCTGTGGTACGTGAGCGTCTCGCGCGTAGGATGACCTGAACGGAGAGGCATTCGCGCACACTCTAGTCATGTCGCGCGGAACAGCACGCGCTCGTGCAGTCTGCAGCTAGTTCGAGATAGTTGTAATGCAGCCGGATATTGAAATCCGATATTCCCTGCGGCCGGTTCTGTTCCGTAAGGTAAAGATGACATGTGTGGACTTCTGTGTGCTTGTTGGGCTGCCCGCGACATCGCGAGGCGGGAAAGACCGAGTCGCCGGCGAGCCGATCGCGACGGGTGGCCGACGGTCGAGGGCGAGTTGCCGCTCCACCTTTGCCCGCGCAGTACTCGCCCCCCTGAGATCCGCGCCGTTGTCACCTTCAACCATGCGTCCTACTGCTCCTTCCTGGCTCAAGCTGCTCGTGCCGGTCAAGCGCACCGTCGACTGTACGTCTGGCTTGCACCGCCGGCTGGTTCCATTCGGTCCTTGACACTCGTCGGCACTCCGCACACAGATGCTGTCAAGATCCGCGTTGGCCCTAAAGGCGTCGAGACCAAGGGAGTCAAGCACTCGATGGTATGTCCACAGGCCGCCGACCTATGAGACTCGACCGCACCAGGCTGATGTCGTTCCTTGACGCGAGCAGAACCCCTTTGACGAGATCGGTAGGGTTTGCGCACCTTGGGCCTCGCGGGGAGCCGCTGCTGACTTGATGACACTCGAACAGCCGTCGAGGAAGCCGTCAGACTGCGCGAGAAGGCCAAAGAAGCGATCGAAAAAATCACGGTGGTCAGCATCGGTCCGGCAAAGGCTTCCGAGGTCCTGCGCACGGCGCTGGCCATGGGCGCCGACGACGCGATCCACGTCGAAACGGCGGAAGATGACGTTGTCGAGCCGCTCGCTGTCGCGCGTGCCCTGAAGGAGATTGTCGGCCGCGAAAAGCCCGACATCGTCCTCATGGGCAAACAGGCGATCGACGACGATTCCAGTCAAGTCGGTGGGATGTTGGCCGGCATGCTTTCGTGGCCGCAGGCCAACTTTGCGAGCAAGGTCGACCTCGACACCGCAGCCAACACGGTGACGGTCTCGCGAGAAATCGACGGAGGGCTGGAGACTCTCAAGATGTCGCTGCCGGCCGTCATTACGACCGATCTGCGGCTGAACCAGCCGCGGTATGCCAGCTTGCCCAACATCATGAAGGTACGCGCGCCTCTCTCGTGGTTCCCTTCCGTGACGTCCGCTTGCGACGAGCCAGCCTGATCGACGGACTTTCTCTTCGTGTGCAGGCAAAGAAGAAGCCGCTCCAGAAGCTCAAGGCGGCGGATCTTGGTGCCGACCTTGCGCCGCGGCTCGAATCTGTCAATGTTGCGGCCCCGCCTGCGAGGCAAGGTGGAGCTAAGGTGAGCAGGAACCTCCTCACGGCGCCTTTCCACAATTTTCTCTGCAAGTTTCACATCCTGACTCCTTTGAACCTGCCAGGTGGAATCTGTTGATGACATTGTCAACAAGATGAAGGAGGCTGGTGTTTTGTAGTGGCGACATTTGCTGCGAACCGTTTTTGAAGCTGTTTGTTCTGCCAGCAACTGCCAGGCGCACGGGGACTTGAGAGCGGCATTGGCCAAAGGTGCTTTCTCCCCACTCTCGAAGAGCAGGAAGCATCCCTGAGCGGACACCGGGTGCGGCAAAAGAGTGTGGTTTCTGTCCAAAAAGAGAGAAGCCGCAAAAAGATTCTGATGTCTGTGAGATTCGAACTCACGCCCTTTCGGACTAGCGGGTTACAGAGAACCTTAAGCTAGCGCCTTAGACCGCTCGGCCAAAACGCCTTGTTGATGCTGTTTTTTGTAATCAACAATATATACATCACCAATCTGAAGATGCGCCCATTCGCCACTGCCATCTGGTGCTCTGAATGCTTTATTGCTATGTATGTGTTCAAAGCCAAATGCTTGTGAACTTTGCAGAGCGGGCAGAAGGAAAAGAGAGACTCAGGAGTATGGCCATATGGAGCTGCCGGGTGGGACAGTTGGCAAATATGACAGCAGACACTTGCCCGAGGCCCTCTTGCGCACAGCCAATAAAGTAGCTTCACACATTCTTGCCCGATGTGCTCTGCCTGTTGCGACAATCCCGCTACGGTTAGAAAGAGAATGACCCAGCTGGGAATCCCATGAAGAATGACGAGCAAGTTCAGAAATCAAGCGCAGGCCCCCAAAGCGCGAGAGGTGGCATGTGCGCCTCTATCCTCCACCATGCAAACTGCAGCTGAATGCCAGCATAAATGAGAGCTTGCCATTCAGTACTGCATGTCTCTTCTTTGCCTCTGTCCGTAAGCGCTAAGCGCTGAACCAAAACCTCTTCGCCACCCCGAGCGAACAAGGCAGTGAGGAGTGTCGGCTGAAGCTGCTTTTGAGGAGTTCTGTGCGCTGCACTCTTGAAGTAAGCTTCAATGTGCAATGCCTAAAGCATTGGCCAAAGCAAAAGGATGCCCGGGGATCTGCAAGCACTCGACCGAATGGCAAAAGAAATTGACCACGCTGGGGCTCGAACCCAGAGTCTCCATACAAGCACAGCTTTTGCCCCGCTCATCCGCTACCTTCGCAAGAACGCACTCGGCCTCATCTCGACCGAACAAGGATGGACGACTCGGCTGTGGCAACTGGACACGTTTTCGCAACTGTTCGACTCCTCTCCCGTCGTCGCCGAAGCCGTTACCTCCATGTCCTTGCTCCCTACGCTCCTTCCTTTCGACCGTTGCTTCGTCGCCGACACGGATGGACGGCCCTTCGTCTCGAACGAAGTCACACGGCAGCTCGCGACCGCGACGGTCTCGATCTACAGCTCGTCCCTCGGAACTGACGCCACCGCTATGTGCCACGGCCTGCACGTTCTGGTCGCGAACGCGCCCACGACGGCGGTCATCCGCGACGTCCTGCTCGTCCTTGTTGCGCTGGCTCTGCCTCTCGTTGTGCAAGTCGGACAGCATCCCTTGGACGTTGTTCAGAGTTGGCTGCTTGCCACCGCCCGACTTTTGACGTACTACAAGATCTGCGGTTGCTTCCTTCGGTCCTGCCCGAACCTCAAGGACATCCTGTTCCTCGCCGACTCGGGACCGGCGACGTCCGACCTCGTCCACGTGCGCGAACGATTCATTCGTCGCCGAGCATTCCAAGGCATGCCTCTGCCGTCCATCGGAACGCTACATCTCAAACCGGTGCCGGTCATCCTCATGTGCGGCTCACTCAAGACCCTCGGCAACAACGCGCTCTTCCACGTCGCCGGCGCGATGGCCCTTTCTGGGTATCCTGCCGAATACGACAAACTCGTGGTCGGCCTCGGTGCGTCATCTTGTTCCGGAGGCCGTCACGCTACCTGCAGAAGCCTTCCACTGCGCGCGACAAGCACTCTCGAGGCCCGTTTCTCCTTCAACGCCGTGCCGGAGTCCCTCTGCCTTCTTTCCGCCTTGTCTGGCGTCGCCAACCTCAAGCTTACGTTTGTCGAATGCCGGAGGTACCACGACATCGCCTTCCCTCTGTTCTTCGCCCTTTGGCACCCGCACCACCTCGTCATTGACCACAATGGCGAAGACATCGCCCGCTTGAGCTTCGACACCGACAGCCTCCCCTTCTTGCCGCCTCTCCAGACTCTCGCCATGCACCACGTCGACCTCTTCTATCCCGTCCTGCAACGTCTCCTTGGCGTCCTAGCAGGAACGCTTATCAAGAAGGTCTCGTTTGAGAACTCGGTTCTTTGGGTTGGGGACTATATGGATGACCAGTATCTCTCCCTTGAGTCGCGCGGCGTCGTGGATCTGCTTTCGCAGATCCCACGCCTGGCAAGTGTCAATTTGGGGCGGTGGTGTTGGCTCGAAGAGGGTGCCCGCATCTACGAGATCGACACCTGGTCGGACGGCAGCGGAGTCGGCGTCCAATACGAAGGCGCGCGCAACACGCTCGACGAGGAGGAGCAGCAGGACGACAGCACCGAAGGTCCCGCCAGGTTCCCTCTCCATCCCCCTTTCCCCTTTCCTGCCACCGCGTCGCCGCAATTCGGTGGCAGCTTCGTTAGCGTGGAGACAAGTACTTAGAAGGAGTGAGAAAAGAGAGTTGCGCACCATGTGCACGCGGTCCAGATGCGCGCAGAATACACACAGAGGCAACGTGGCTGTAGCCGCCGGCGTTCTTTACCGTCTCCTCCTTTAGCGCGCGCGATTCCGCAGGCTCTCCTTGCACACGCCCAGCAGCGGCGTGCCCAGGTTCAGCCGACGGCGGTGGTCCCGTGTCGTTCTTCTGCGTGGCTCGGACGCGAGCCGCTGCCTGGTGGCAGTCAAGCAAGTCAGAGTGTGTATCGCTCGCGGTTGGCGAGAACACAACCTGACTCACAACCCTCGCTCGAAGAACTTCGATCGAAACTTGTTTCGAAGACATGGCACAGACCGAAGCGGGTCCAAAGAGGTCGCCGACTTCCGCCGCCTCACCAGTCCGTTGCGCTTCGCACAACGCCCGTTCGTAGGGCGCAAGTTTTGATTCGGCCGACTGTGGACCCGATGTTTGCGAGTCAGCACGCGAAGTAACAGAAGGAGGGTGCCTAAGAGGACAGACAGCGAGGAGCCGGGGATCTGTCTCCTTCGAGATGATGCCGCGGACACCCTTCACAACTGCTTTGTAATCCTGCAAGTGAAATACAACACACTGTCAGTCACGGCCGCAGGCAAGGGTGTCGGAACAGGGGCAGCCGCTACCTTATCAGCCCCCTTGGCCTTGCTACCGGGAACCCGGACCCTGGGCTTGCCGCCGACGTAGATGACGATCTCCTTGCGCGCCGCGCTCTTGTCCGATACCTTGGGCATAGTTTCTTGCTGGCGTAGAGAGGGCAAGGACAAGGGATGGTCAAGTGCGCTCGATCACACACCATCAGACCCGCGCGGAAGCAATTCTGAGCGCTATCTCGATAACGGCGACACGTGAGGTGCTCTGACCAAGACCAGAAATTACTGTCTAGTATGGAGAGCCAGGGAAAAATACACCCATAGCCATTGGAGGCCGTGGAAGTGGGTTGAAATGGCGGTTCAAACCAGTGTTGTATCATTACAGTGTAACCGTAATGTAAAGAGTAAACTTGATCGCCCGAGGGTGCTTTACACCCGTAATTACAGCTGTAAAGTGTATGTAAAGTTGTTTGAATAGAAATAGTCTAATTCAGGACTAGGAAGGGTTGTAATGAGTTTTGGTTACTAAATCTCGGAGTGGAGGACGGCCGCCGAGGCCGCGTCGTCCGCGTCACCGGGATCGTACGTCCAGTCCCAGACAGCTCGCCTCGTCGCGGAAATGCAATTTTAAGCATAAGAGAGCGATTCCACCATGTTGGCTATGTTTACATAATTTTACATTTGAGAGCCTCGGGAAGAGATTACACCCGTAATTACACCCGTAATTGTAATGTTACATCTTTACACCTTACTTTACGGGCCCAACACTGGTTCAAACCGCCGCGCGAAAAGCGATTTGAAATCGAACGAATCGCCGAAAGCCATCAGCTCACAGAGCAGGCTCTCTGGTGGACCTTGTGAGCTAAAAACTGCACAGGACAACTATATCTTACACAGCTATGAGTACTTACCAGGAGATCTACACCAGGAGCATGTTATAAGACGAGCCAAATTCTGGACCGAAACTGCTGACGTGGCCAGCCTCATCGTGTGCGCGGAAGGCGACTTGACCACGCCTTGGCAAGGAGCTGATCGGCGAGATCCGTTAGTTGCACGCTGTGCAGACCAGTGCAGACCGGTCCTTGCCGGTCCGAAGACTCCAGCTTGACATATTTTCTCCGCGGCGGCGGAAGCTCTGACGGCCGTTGTGCACACACACTCTCCCCATCGAGCGCTGCAAGATCAGGATGCGGTTAACAACGGGTACGCTGCTGCATCTGCAGAACATAAAAGGGACGGTACATCTGACAAGGACGCCGATCATAGGGATACCAGCGTCAGCAGTCGTCGCCGCGCTGGAACGGCTGGGAAGGGAGTCGGGACGGTACACGACGGAAGCGGTCGCCTCGTTCCACAACGAAATTCTCAATCGCCAGGTCGAGCCTACCGAGACATCACAGGCGTACGAGACGGCGTCGATCGCTGCGAAACAAGAGATCGAGGAGCTGGCCGGCAATGGGGTAGGGATCACATTCGAGTCGTAAGTGACTAACTCTCTGCGACAGGGCTACTCGTCCCCGCAAGGGTTGGTCTAACTCGTTGCGTTCTTGTCGGAATAGGCGTGTTGGATCACCCTCCGCGCCCATTACAACCCTGCTGCATTAATTTCCGATCCCCGAACGAGGGACACTCCCCCGAAACGTGACCTGGGACTCAGAACCGATGCCCGAGACGGCGAAGTTACTGCGAGGTGCATCTCCGGTGCTGTTCGCCTCGCCGAACACACAGAAGGTTCGCTCCGTGTGCAATCAGAGTCCCTGCGCGCACGCTGACAATCTGCGTCGGCAGGTTTCACTACTGAACCTACACCAGCTCGCTTACCGTGTATCGGAACAAAAGCCGCAACCGCGTTCACACAATCACGTCCTCCTTGCGCCTGGTATGCAACGAGGCGATCCGCTTGCCGCGCGCCTTCACGTGGCGAGTACGGCCCCGACACTGGCGGCGCTTCGCGAAAGGATAGCAGGCCAGTACGGACCATGCGTGACTCTGGTCATGGGCGAGGTCGGGGCGTGTGCGGTGCAGGAGATCGTCGAGCAAGTCGGGCGCGGATCCACCTTCAGGAGGAGCGGGGCTGGAATCGTGCGAGGCAACGTGTACTTCCGAATTCAGGGTATG